TAGGGACGGCTAGCTCAGATAGCCCTCGTGTAACTTTGCGCGAAATTCATAACAAACCATAAAATAATAATATTCTTCTTGGTTTAGCACTGACTTTTCGATGGAGCAGAATACCATTGATTTGAATTTCAATAATAAATAGTGATTACTTTCTTGCAATTTTACTATTCCAATGACTTTCGTAGTTTAAAGTGTAAGAATACTTTCAAATGAAGATATTAGCTACAAAACCTGAAACAGTAACTTTGAGAAAACAAGTAAAATACCAGAAGACTTGAAATACAAAATTTCAAGTAATGTATTAAACGTCTCTCCTGAATGTGAAACTAATATTGTTACTGTTTGTTTGTAATTAAGCACAAAGCTATACAATGGGCTGGGCTATCTATGCTCTGCCCACTACGGGTATCGAAACCCGGATTCTAGCGTTGGAAGTCCGCAGACATATCGCTGTGCCACTGGGGGAGGGGGCTATTATTACTGAGCTTTAAATTTGCCTCTACAGTATAACACCAGATCGATAGAAAAGCTATGATTAACATGATATAGCGTGTATACTTAATTTATCATACTCGTATTGGGTATTGGCCGGTGATGTAAGTATGCCCCCACTGTGATCTGTATAACTAAATGAAGCAGTCTAAATTTACCAACCAAAGTAGGAATTGAAAATCGTTTTAAAATGTATCCAACTCGCATCCCTTTACTTGTTTGTGTATTTTTTTTATTACAGCATTTATTTTGTTTTGGATACTTCTTATAGGAATTCTACGAATAACCAACGATCTATACGTTCGATTAAAATTTTAATTTTTACCCTATGTATAGCATAATTACAACTTTTGAATCTGCGACAGTCCAGTGACTGGACGGATCTTAACATATTGTAATGTGTGTAGTTATGTTTTTCACCCGACTTCGTGTTCGTACACGTTGGGACTCTGATCAGGCGGCAGATGTGAAACGAAGAAAGCCCCTCCCCTCACCGTGGAAGGGTGAACGGGCTAATTCGTCTCGGATAATACAGCCTATAGAACTGGCTGATTAAGACAGGTTTGTTGGGAAAAATACATACATGTAAAAATACAAAAATGGTTTAAACTTATTTCTTAATGAAACTTTAACTGCTTAGATGACATTCATAGCATGGTAAGATCATTTTCTTTAGCTTTGATTCTGTAATTTTAGTCTTAAAAATAGCTTTATGCTAGGAAATCATTTCCTCGAAACGTAGATGTATTTACTGTATATATATATAATATCGTTAGTTGAATATTAAATTATAAAGAGAGTACTTGGAGCCACGGAGTTATGCCTACTTCACTTAGACTTTTTCAGCCTATCCATTTTCCAGCACTTAACGCCATCTTTATAACGGTCAGTGACTCTAGAAGAATGCGTGGCATTATAAAGAAACATTTTAAGACATATCCCACGATGCTCCATAAGAGTGGTATTTTTTTACCTTTGTTCCAGTCCTTTAAAACTAACATTGTTAATCTTCGATCTCTGAAACTCATCAGTAATCTGATAACACTGATTCGTCAATCTTTCACATCACATCCACTGTGATGCTATATATATATTCACTTACACCTGATTCGTCAATCTTTCGCATTACATCCACTGTGATTGGGCTTTACACTACCTTTTAATACAAGCAGAAAAAAAAGTCTTCACGATGACGATAGATACTCCGAGTACTTGGTCGTCAACCTTCAGGAACTACCACTCGTGAACGCGCTCAAGGTTTACGTAAAGTCGTTGACCCGCATCCATTTTTAACATTTTCCTTATGTTCACACGAAAAATCCACTTTTACGACCATGACCAGAAATCATTATTGTTAGAAGTATAAAAAAAGGATTTGTGAAATAGTTCTCTATATTGAAATTAAAAACTTAACTTTAATTTAATTTTTTCCCCTCTGTCAGTAGAGGTAAGAGAAACTGGCTTTAGGTAGTTTACTACTTTACCATATCTTCTCTTCACTAGCGCAGCAGCCAATCTTCTCTGGCTAGCTATATTCTAGAGTTTGCCTTCTGACATTCATGGATTAATTGTCTTTCTTGCGGTAAAAACGACAAAGGAACATCGAATATCAAAGAATGAAACAAGTTAAGCAAACTTCGTTATATGGACATCAAACTATTATGATAGCGTAGAGGATGTTTAACTGGCCCGGCATGGCCAGGTGGTCAGGGCACTCGACTCGCAATCTGCGGGTCGCGGGTTCGAATCCACGTTACACCGAAACATGCTCACCCGGTGTCCGGACTAAAATTTGGAGGTGTGAGAAACACCATACCAGTTTCTACTACTGTTCTTTGACTATATCTTACTTCATCAGTTTTCATCTAGAATACACATATATTTACTTATTTATACATTAACCGAACTTTTGAACGGCTTTGGTATTTTCAACTTCAACGGCTGATACCTTCTTTTACCTGAAATCATAACTTTCTAACAGAGCTATAGTTTCCCCATAGCTTAACACGCGATTCTTGTTAAGCGGCATACCGCGACTCTGGCTTTGGATCTTCCGATACGCAGCCCATCAAGTCAACTAGCCACTAAGTCACTCTCGGTTCTACTTTTAAGTTAGATATGTTCGTAATCTACCACTCATACTTGCTTCAAGTGAATTAAAATTTTGTCGCAAACTTAATAACACTTGGTAAAAAATAAATAACTGGCAAAGCCTAAGTATTTTTGAAAGGATGTTCTGCCCTTGCTAAATAATCAGTAAGCTTATGTAAGCACGTTTATAGAAACTCAAGAGTTAATATTACAATATCCTCAGTTCCTAGCAAATTATCGTTCTATTTATTGTAATGGAGGATAGTGGTAAAAAGATTAAAATAAAATCCCATGCCGTTTATATGTCAGTTGAAAGCTTAACATCTGAATTTATAGCTAGAAACTTGTAAAAGGTAAGTAGGTTGTTTGGACTCGTAAAAATCAAGCTGCTTTTCTTCAGTTATATACTAACAGAGCTGCAAGAGGACCACGTTATTAGAATATGTGGTTAACAAGTGTGCCTCATTTCTGCATGGCATTTCATATTTTAGAGTATGTTCCCACGCTCTAATAAGCTTGACTGCGCCTGAACACACGAAACGGCTGATGGCAAGTCATGATCCACTAGGAACAGAGCTGGTAACCACTAATTAATATTAACTTCTCTTCAAAGCAAGCTAGGTACATAAATCAAAACTAAAAATGTATGCCTAGTAATGAACATAGGTAATTAAATATAAAATTAAAACTATATTACTTATGATTAGAATGCATTGTTTCATCAATTGGGTACCGGTACTCTATGAAGGTCAGTATAGACTGTCACATGCTGGTTGTTGACAAAATGCATTGGGGGAGGGTCATGCGTAGTTCTGGATGATGACTAAATTGTACTTGCATTTTACTCTAGAGCTGAGAAAAACAAAACAATAATATTGACACTTGTACTACAATAACTACAAAAATGATCCCTTAATTAGAAATTATGTGATTGTTGACGAGATCCTTAAATTCGCTATTTGAGTGAAAAATGCTGAAGACAGCTAGAATAAAATAAACCAGAAAGCTCCCAAAATCGCTATTCGTATGTCATCCCTTTATCTGTGAAAAACTGAAAGTTTGCTAAAATTCTGTGCCCATACATCTAACGAGTGAAGTACATCGACTACAATCCGAACTTGGTGAACGATGGTTGGGGAATCAACCATACATCTAACGAGTGAAGCATATGGATTACAATTCAAACTTGGTGAACGATGGTTGGGGAATCAACCATACATCGACTACAATCTGAACTTGGTGAACGTTGGTTGGGGAATCAACCATACATCTAACT